TAAACTCTTTGAACCAGAATTGATTCATCTGTATAATGGAGATAATAATCCCTGTCCTGTCTCCTTGTAACAATCAAATTCAGCATTTGCGAATGTTCTACTCTTTTAAAAGTTGTTATTGGAGCAGGAGAGCATACTGTCATAGATATATTCATCTAATTGAAAGTTTAAGTCTTGTGAGTCATGCTTAACTAAACTTTATTTCTACATTGTTAATTTTCTGTATAGTCCTATATACTATATTTAGTTACTGAGAGTGGGACTAAAATCCTTCCTGGTGTTTTATAGATGTGGTTGAGTTGTTTGCTATAAGCCTTGGAGCAGAAATTAGACAGCACTAATGAATTTATTGTGGATAAACATATATAGACTAATGATCTACTTAGTATTATGGCTCAGCTTATCTTTTGTGTAATAAAGACTCATCTGAAGGGCTAACTCATCTGAGGTTTCCCTTACTCATTGAAGAGGTTACAGGGGGAAAAATGAAGTTAAAAGATGAAAAATTCCCATTTTTGCTATTATGACTATTACCAATTTCCAAGTCTTCTATTGATCTATAAGAAACAAGAGCTATGCAGGCAGTGTAGAGGAAGTTAGTATGTTGTAGTGTTATTTGCTTTTTAATTATTTAAGTAAAGTTTTGCCCTATTACAGAAACTCAAGAGATTGCTTGTGGCTAATAGTTGCCATCCATCAAATCCCTTAGAGTTTATAATTTGGTTTAGCACAGCCTGTAATTGACCTAGCAATTCCAGTGAGTTTGCTAGTACTCTCCAGATAGAAAGACTTCCCATAAAAACTATTTCAAAACTAGCTTTACATGTGGTTTAATAAACCCATCACTAAGTTTTTACTGAGTGCTGTTGTTTTATTCTATTCAAAGTATTATGGGGGATCAGACGTGAGCCCATTGCTTCAGAGTTTATCATTTTAATGATGGAACTGACCATATTTAGCAAATACAGTTAACAAGTAGAGAATGAAGTACTAAGTGAGATGCAATATGGAATTTTAGAGGAGGGCAGGTGGACCCGAAATAATTAGAGAGAGTGGCATATATGATTTGATACTTAACCAGGGTCATGGAGGGTAATTAAGATTAGTCAGCTAGAGAGGAAGAAGTTTACCAGAAGAATGACCATTGTAAGCCTTTTAAGGCACTAAATGACTTAATGTGACTTAAGTCACATAATGGGAAGAAATCTGTGTGGTACTCCCAGGAATCTGGTTTGGTCAGACCAGGAGTCAAAAAGCATTGAGAGAAAGGATGCACAATGGACTATGGTGGTGGACTTTGGGTGACTTGGTGGTGGGTACACAGCGGTGGTGTGGTAGTTCTGGTAGTTCATGGGGGTATCCAAACATTACCTCAACTAAAAATAAATGAATAATTTTAATTAAAAAAGAAAAGTAGCTAAGTAGATTCTGAAGGTTGTTCAGTAGCAGATAAAAGAGGTTGGATTTGATCTGGTGGAACAAAAAAGCCATTACAAGGTTTTTTGTGTAAGAGAATGACAATTCAAGAGGGATAAGCTGGGTAACTCTTTACTAATCTCAGAGTTGAATGCAACAGAACCAGTGTTAAGTACATCAGGGGGACAGCGGAGTCACAAGCAAGAGGGCAAAGGATAAGCCAAGGTAGTTGCATTATCATGGAAAGAAAAGGATGGACAGTAGACATGTTTTAAAGGAAAAATGGGCTAGACTTCTTTACTGATTTGAAGTCTCTATGAGAAATTTATTGTCAACCTTGATTCCAAGATTTCTCTTCTGCAGGCTGGGTTGCCCAAAATATAAGAAACCATTGTCAGAAACAGAAAAGTTAGGAAGTAGCTTTGTTCCAACAAAAAGTATTGAGTTGGTGCCTGATGCATTTGACTTCAAGGTCATACAAGCATGTAAGAAGTTAGCACTGCAGAGATGTTGCTCAGAGGGCGAGGCTGGGGAGGTGGTTGGGCTTGATCACCAGGTAATTCTCAATTGAATTTGTGCAAATGTTCAGCTGTTAGGATGCCCCTGGGTGAGCTGCAGGGTGGAAAACCAAGTAGTATTTACTCAAATGTCATTTGTTCTTCTGACATATTGGCTTGTGAGACTGATGAAAAATGATAGGTGTAATGCCAACTACTTTTCTAACCAAAAAATCATTAATTAAAAGAAAGTGAGACCCACGAAAGGCAAAGTAAACTTCTTTAAGCCAACTACAGAAAAAGGTATCACTAAAAGACTCATAACTACAGTAATGATAACAAAATTTTCCAATTTTGTGCTTGAAGAGGCCTCAATATCTTGAGCTATTTTAAGCATTTAGTGGGAGCACTAGGTAAATAATTAGTAAACTTCCTCCATTGCATTAATTCTACTATGTACTTTTTTTCATATTTTTTAAATTTCTGAAATTAGCTTGTGTCTTACAGTTGATGTCTTATTATTGGCTCTGTAGTAATTATGACATAATTGTCAGTGCCTTAATTTTTTTTTGCCTAATTTTCTTTTTTACATATGCACATAAGGTAATATGATTTAGTGTGTCCAAATAAGTCAACAGGAGCTTTTCTTAGGGAGTGTAGAATATAAGTTCTAAGTGATAAAGCAATAGTTTAACTGGCTGCATTTTTTATTTCCAAGTGGTACCTAAAATGGTGTGTATTAAAGTGATTATGTCTTTGGGGGTAGTGCAGGGGTTAAAGTCTCAGTGCTATCAAGCTATCACCAGCCACTGTGGCATGAGTTTGATCCTTGGCCAGGGAGCTAACCCACATGGCTCAACTGACCTCTCCTGTCTCTCCCACTGCTCCCTCAGCAGTATATTTCAGTAAATCCACCTGTTCTGCTCCCTACTCTGTCTCTGATGAATCCTCTCAGCCCCTGCACCTCTGGCCTACACCCCAGTTCTTGTAGGCATAAATAAATAAAATAAATTTTAAAGAAAGGTGATGTCTTAAATAAATGAAATACGGTAGTAAACAGGAGTTGTTCACAGCCACACTCCACCAGCATAAAATTTTCTAAATTTGCATTATTTCTTCAACCTATATTCAAGGCATCCCATGGATTGTTTTCTTTTGGACTAGGAATATGAGAAAGGGTTTCCACTCAATGGTAAAAGTACTGCCTGCCAGCAACAGAACCCTTCTCAGAGGATCCATTTCTTTGTGATGCAGAATCCAAAATATTCACATAAGTTCAGGTCTTAGAATGGATAACTGTGCTTTGTTTAAACCACTGTGCCCTCCCTAATCTCAGACCATGAGCACCCCAAGCAGCTCCTGGACTGCCGTCTATCTGTGCGAAGGCAGAGTGACTCCACAAGGACATTTGTTAATGTTTGGAGTGGTGAGAAACTCTATGGTAGAAAAGGTGTGATAAAAATGGAGAACAGAGGCATCTGGTTCTCAAGACCAGAGTTCTCAGCCATTTCTGCTGTATGAGCTATTTGCTGGAGGTAGGTTGCCTTCCCGAATGTTCAGTAACATTTCATGAACAGAAAAGCAGTCTCATTGCCTACTGGTTGGCACGGATAACAGCTATGACACGCATGTGTCTTTTTTTAAGTCCGTGCTCCAGAACCGAGTAAGAATAAAGTTAGAATGCCGGGGCTGGGGATGCGTCTCTTTACTACTAAGGGACACGATGCTTCAGGTAAGTGACTCTGAAGTCCTTCCCCATCTGACGGTCACCTTGGGTTGATGTGTAGGTATGTTTTCATTTTGCTTGTTCATTCATTCTAATTGGCTTCCCAGAGCATGCTTGTAGATGTAGAGCCAAATTTAGAGTATAGCAACCCTCTGGCAAACAGGAAAAGATTAATTTTGTGGTGTGCTGTTAAGGGACTTCCCAGGAAACTTCAAAAGCACAGAAAGAAGCACTAGCTGCCTATTCCAAAATGTGCAAAATGCCATTCAGCTTTTTAAAGGAATGATAAACTCAGTTCACAGACACATACGTACAGGATCACGTTTCCAATAAAAGGAGCAGCTGAGCTTTCTTAGATGGATCTGTCTGTGCACCAAGACAGCCAGGGGGTGAGGGGCTCAGAGAGTTGGTGGAGATAAACCTGGATCTGCATATGGGAGACATTTGAAATTGACTTCAGTGCCTTTTTAATGCTGAATTTTCCAGTTCTCTTAAGCAGACACATTGTTTTCATGATATCAGCCCCAGGCATAGACACATCATTAAAATCAACGTGTAGAAAATGATTTCTGTTTGAAAATAAGCAAAGCATCCTCAGTCATGACCACCCAGGTGTCCTAGAAGAAACAATGGATGTAGAGTTGGAAGCCCAGAGTTCTAACATAAACTTGCTTGGCGACATGAGGCCCGCGTTTTGTGGCTTTTGGGTACCCTCTCTGTAAAGCGGGGTAGCTCACTGAAATTATTTCTTCGTTGCTCTAATAGCTCACCTCTATGGGAAGACTAAGAAGTCAACGCAAAGGTTCCTTACAGCTCCCTGACTTCCGATTAATGGTGCTATTCATGCCACACTCCAGCCACTCAGCTCCAGAGACCCTCACAAGCCCCTCAGGCCACTGCTGTTCCTGTCACACGTTCCCGCCACAGGACCATGTTGCTAACTAGGGGAAAAAAATACTATTACATTTGCAGTTGTTGCTTAGTAACATTTCTGATTTTGTATTTCTTGTGACAGCCTGAGCAGAGATCATTAAAAATTAAACTTACAAAGCTGCTAAAGTGGGAGGAAGGGGGAGAGCTGGAAGCCACGTTTTTTTTCACTTACTTAGAAGACATCTCATCTCGGGTGTATATGCTAAATCTTGGGGGAAAGCACTGCATGTCTCTGGTTTCTATTAAAACACGTAGCGCACACTACTGACATTCATTTGTGTCTGGTGCAGCTGGAGTTTATCACCAATACATAAAAAAGCCTTGACCCTGCAGGACGGCCTGGAATTACAATCAGATGGGCTGCGTCCGCTCCCCGAGAAAGCAAGCCCTAACCAGTTTTGTGTCCTGTTTCTGCTTTCTCCCCGCAGTTCCACCAGGTGAGAAGAGTGATGACCATCCTTTTCCTTACTATGGTTATTTCATACTTCGGTTGCATGAAGGCTGCCCCCATGAAAGAAGCCAGTGTCCGAGGACCAGGCGGCTTGGCCTACCCAGGTGTGCGGACCCATGGGACTCTGGAGAGCGTGAATGGGCCCAAGGCAGGTTCAAGAGGCCTGACGTTGGCTGACACTTTTGAACACGTGATAGAAGAACTCCTGGATGAGGACCAGAAAGCTCGGCCCCACGAAGAAAACAATAAGGACGCGGACTTGTACACCTCCCGGGTGATGCTCAGTAGTCAAGTGCCTTTGGAGCCTCCTCTCCTCTTTCTGCTCGAGGAATACAAAAATTACCTGGATGCTGCAAACATGTCTATGAGGGTCCGGCGCCACTCCGACCCCGCCCGCCGCGGGGAGCTGAGCGTGTGCGACAGCATCAGCGAGTGGGTGACGGCTGCGGATAAAAAGACTGCAGTGGACATGTCGGGCGGGACGGTGACGGTCCTCGAAAAAGTCCCTGTCTCGAAAGGCCAACTGAAGCAGTACTTCTACGAGACCAAGTGCAATCCCATGGGCTACACAAAGGAGGGCTGCAGGGGCATAGACAAAAGGCATTGGAACTCCCAGTGCCGAACTACCCAGTCGTACGTGCGGGCCCTCACCATGGATAGCAAAAAGAGAATTGGCTGGCGATTCATAAGGATAGACACTTCCTGTGTATGTACATTGACCATTAAAAGGGGAAGATAGTGGATTTATGTTGTATAGATTATATTGAGACAAAAATTATCTATTTGTATATATACATAACAGGGTAAATTATTCAGTTAAGAAAAAATAATTTTATGAACTGCATGTATAAATGAAGTTTATACAGTACAGTGGTTCTACAATCTATTTATTGGACATATCCATGGCCAGAAGGGAAAGTCATTTTGCGCACAACTTTAAAAAAAAGTCTGCATTACATTCCTCGATAATGTTGTGGTTTGTTGCCGTTGCCAAGAATTGAAAACGTAAAAAGTTTAAAACTAATAATAATAAATTGCATGCTGCTTTAATTGTGAATTGATAATAAACTGTCCTCTTTCAGAAAACAGACAAAAACAAAAAACAACAAAAATTTGAACCAAAACATTCCGTTTACATTTTAGACAGTAAGTATCTTCGTTCTTGTTAGTACTCTCTCTGTTTTACTGCTTTTAACTTCTGATAGCGTTGGAATTAAAACAATGTCAAGGTGCTGTTGTCATCGCTTTACTGGCTTAGGGGATGGGGGATGGGTGGGGTCTATTTTTGTTTGTTTTGTGTTTTTTTTGTTTTGTTTTGTTTTGTTTTTGTTTTGTTTTGTTCCCATAGGGAGTAGGGATGGGGAAAGAATTCTTTCACTATATATTCTGGTCGATAGAAGATTCATTTGTACGCTGTAAAGATGTTTGCAGTACCAACCAGATGACTGAAAAGTGAATAAAAATCAAGGCAACTGAACCACGGGCTCAGTTCAATAGGCTCTTCCGCCCCCCCACCTGGGCCTTGGCTGATCAGGGGAGGCTTCTTCTGTTGAAAGACCTACCTTTACTTCAAGCACATTCTTTCCTCCCTTCCCCCTCATGGTCCCTTCTTTATTTTTGTTTTCCCTTAAGAAAACAGTTGCGCGCTCTGAAATATTTTACCACTGCTGTGAACAAATTCTGTCACATTGTGGCACTCACATAAGCATGGAGAACAGTGATTTTTTTTTTCTAAGAAGAGGAAAAGAACAACAACAACAAAATAACTCAAAAATAAAGATTTCTTTTTTTTTTTATGAGGGGTAAATATTTGGGTAACTCATTGTCAGGCTTTTAAAAAATCCATAATAAAGCTTAAAAGTGTCTTGCCAGCAAAAGGTGGAATTTTGCATGGACCCAGAAACACCTAGATCAGAGCAGGAACCCACACTGCCGGTGACATGAGACTGAGCAGCGACCGAGGCCGCTGATCGATGGCTCCCAGGCGGAGCAGAGGAATTTCTGAGCAGCCGTCCTGAGGTCTAGGCTGGGGAGGGGAATGGTACTTGAGACATTCCAAGTGGGAGGCCCCTGAAGGGCCCTTCAGAGGTGGCCCTGGAATGACATGTCAAGTTGCTTGGACCTCGCGCTTTAAGTGCCTACATTATCTAACTGTGCTAAGAGGTTCTCGCTGGAGGACCGTGCTCAAGCTGACTTACACCCTCCACCCTTGGATAATTTTGCATACAGCTGAATTAGCCTGGAGCAAGTTCAGAACCCAATATGTTGTGATCATGGGATGGATAAAATGAAATCGAAGATGTTTGCTACAAGAACACATGGCTTTGAAATTACACTTAAGGAAACCAGGGTTTATCCTTTGAGAATTTTTAGTCAGGGGGAAAGGAATAGGAAAAGACCCCAAAACTCAGGTTGAATGATCAAGGCTACTGATAGGAAAACTTGTCTAGAAGGTGTCTGTGTCTGCACAGCCAGGACACCAAAGGCTTGAAGGTGCCTTGCTTGATGGAAGAGCAAGCGTGGATGAAGTTGTAATCCCCAGTGAAGGCCACAGCAACCTCCTGTCCATCCTGTTTGTTCATGGAGAGGATCCCTGCCTCACCTCTGCTATCTTGGGGCAGGAGAAGTGAAGCTGCGAGCCTGGAATAGTGGTCCTGGGAAAAATAGGCCCCAGTGAAAAATATTAGTGCTAATCCTATTCAGCCTGAAAATGGCCTGGACCAGTGTCCTTGAGTAGCAGAAAGACTCAAGAAATTACTGCCTCTAGCAGGGTGAGGGATAAGCAAAAGACGTTTCTATAACCCAGGGAATGAAGATACCATCGGCAAATAATTGCTGTTTGCTCATTCTTTCCTTTAGAACAAGCCTGTCTTTTATAGTACCATCTGAATACCTGTCTTTAAAAGAAGGAAGACTTTATGTAGTATAGGTTTGTTTTGTGCTGTTTGAAAATGCTATCTTTGTAATTCTTTTGAACATGTAAAGAATACTTGGAATATCTGCTGTATGTTATTTTTTTTGCAGCCTCCTTTCCAGGGACAAAATTCTAAAACAAAGAGAGAGTCCCCGTCACAATTTCGCAGTGTACTGCAAAGGCTTTTACGATCTGTTAAGGGGTGGAGTAACTAGAAGATATTCAGCAATTGTGTGGTCAGTGGCTCTCCTACCCAATAAGATACATCACAGTCACATGCTTGGTGGTTTATGTTGACCTGAGATTTATTTTGTTAAAATCTTTCTCTCCCTGTTGCTGTTCATTTTTGTTTCTTTTTTTTAAGTGTTTTTTTTTTTTTTTTTTTTTTTTTTTTTAAGTCTTGCTGTGGTCTCTTTGTGGCAGAAGTGTTTCATGCATGGCAGCAGGCCTGTTGCTTTTTTATGGTGATTCCCATTGAAAATGTAAGTAAATGTCTGTGGCCTTGTTCTCTCTATGGTAAAGATATTATTCACCATGTAAAACAAAAAAAAATATTTATTGTATTTTAGTATATTTATATAATTATGTTATTGAAAAAATTGGCATTAAAACTTAACCGCATCAGAAGCCTATTGTAAATACAAGTTCTATTTAAGTGTACTAATTAACATATAATATATGTTTTAAATATAGAATTTTTAATGTTTTTTAAATATATTTTCAAAGTACATAAAATCTGGGGGTTCTGGGTTTTTTCTCTTCACTGTAAAACAAACATGAAAACATGTTTTATTATAAATACGTGTGTTCCTTGTTTTAAGACCAACCTGACTAGTGTTAGCCATTGCACAGCCCACCAGAGAGGTTGCTTCTTTCAGCAGGGGAAGCCAATCCTGAAGTCCAAGAGCTTCCAAGAAGCTCCAGGATTGAGCCTGTCTTCCACAGTGGAAGACAGGAGTGTCATTTTCTAGGACACTTGAAAGTTTTCTCCTTTGAAGTGATATACTTTCATCAACTACAAACCATGTATCCTAGCAACATCAGGATCCATGAATCAGGGCTTGCTGGCTCTATTTGATTATAACATAACTGTTAAAAAAAAAATCAAAGTAGGTTTACTCAGGGATATTGAGAATAAATTGGCCCAAATTTAGAAAGTCAATGACTGGGGGGAAAAAAATCGAGAAATTCGATATTTAGAGGCAGGTTGTGTACCCTCAGCTTAGAAATGGTGCCATTTGCATTATGTATTTGTATCCATTGCACTGATTTAATTTTTGTACGTGAAGCATGCAGATTTTATATCACAGAACCCATGATCTAACAGATTGCTAGTGTTTCTAAAAAGATTTGCCTCTCTGATGGCTGCCAAGCCGCTGGGTAATTTAGTTAAAGTGTTTAAAGTTATCACTAAATCTTAGGGAAATAAATGGAAGGATTTTAAATTAGAGAAAGGGCCATTAAGGAAAAAAAGCATCTGTTCCTACTCTTCAAACTCCCCATTTGAACACTGACAACCCATCCCATAACGTGGTGAACTATATCTGTGCAATGTATCATTTCTATTTCAAACATACACACATGGTTTCCTCTTGTATTGTCTTATAAATAAGGATCAAGAAAGTCATAACAAACATTGACTTGTGTTGTGTATATGAAAGAGCAGATCGAATGAGACAAACTACTCGATCCTAATCTATCCAGTAGGTTTGCAAAGTCCTCTGTACTCTGAGAAGCCCCTGGCTGTCAGGCAAGGCATGAGTCCGACCGTGGAGTTAGAAATTGGGTAAACTTCAGGCTTAGCCTATTTTTCATAGTAAGAGAGACTTAAAATATTTTTGAAGGTTAAGTATGAAGAGGTAAGAATTGAGTGTGACATTCAAATTACTTCAAATTAAAGGAGTTCAGTAAACATGGCAGAAGTTTGTCAGACAAACAAAAAAAAGGGAGACATCTAAATTAACCAACTTTGAATTAATCAAGAAGCTAATCTGTACGCTAATTTGTCCTCAGTCAGGCAAGCAACTGAGTCATTCAGATGGCTGGAAATGACCCAGATCTTCACTTTTATTTGTTGTTCTTCACCATATTGATGAGCCTCAAGCCATTAGCAGTGTCTATGGTGCCTACCTTCATTAGCCGCACTAACGCTGTGAATATCATCACTCTTCTGAGAATCTGAACTAAGGCTTAGAAAGTGCCCAGTATTAAATTTTCCCTTTTCATTTAAGTGGTTGCTAGACTATGGATAAAATGGCAAGCTCCTTATGAGTGACAATAAAAGGTTCCAGGCCTGGCCTCAGCATCACCAGCATGCTGGCGGCCTTAGCACTTAAGTTTAAGGGAGAGCATCCCTGTCTCCTGTGTCCTCATGTCAAGCCTGTTCTATAAATTAGTTAAAATGGAAATGGCTGCAGGCTTTGGCAAGCCATCATTAAGAATATTAATAAAATGGAATAGGAAACAGTTGATGTACATAAATGTAGGTAGATAGAAATATTTAGCCTGCAAAGATTCAGTCGTCCATGGATTTGATCCATCCTCAAAATGTTGGACAGCAAAACTAGTGAGTGTGTAGTCTCGGCCGCTTTGTTTTTCGCTGTGGGTTTTAATCATTGTGTAAAGGTTTGGTTGCTTGCTTGCGTGCTTTAGGGGAGTGTTGGACACTTGACTCTTGTTGGTTACACTAAGCTGATGGGCTATCCTACTTAGGAGTCAAACTCAGTGACTAGAGGGGGAGCCCCCACTCCAAGCCAGCCAGCACTGATGCAGAATGTCCTGCCTGTACCTCCATTCAGTCTTTAGAGCATCTTCCTCCAGTCCCTTAGTTTCAGCCACCATTTTCAGTCTTTGTAGAAAAGTAACTCCTTGCTTTTTGATTTGAATAGATGCAATCAGTTGCCTGAAGATTATGTTTAAATATTAACAGAAAAATATTGTGATCTTACATAATATACTCCTCATTAGAAGTAAGCCACTTCTGTGATACGCCCTAAGATTTCTGTAGACCTTTTCCCCAACCCCGCTAGATCTTTGTGGAACACAAGGCACTAGGTCAGGAGTCCCAACCTGGCATTTGCTTCTCTGATTAACAACAATCCTGTGTGCTTGCTAATGTCAGTAAAATGCCTTGGAAAAGCTGATCTTCCAGTCGGTTATAAATCTCATCTCACACAAACAACCCCCTCACTAAACAACTTGGCATTTATTCTGTGTTTGATGTAAACTGCTTAATTTTTATATCAGCAATACAAAAGTACATTTCCATTGGAAAAACAAACCCAACACAAATGTGTAGTTTTGTGCCCACAAAGGATC